GAACATAAGCAGCTTCCACGTGTCGGACATGATGACAAACTGACAAGTTTTATGTGTCTTTTGATTTAATTGTTTTTTATTCAAACTAACGGTGTAGCTATTCTTTTCTATTTCTTAGTTGAATTAGCAGACTCCATGCTTCCAGGACGCACTGCTGCCCTCTGCTGGTTCTTTCAGGTTACAGTCATAGTCCGAACGGTAACGTGGAGCTCGTATGTCCCTAAACAGCTACTGTATTTTAAGATGGTGGATGACCATGGAGCGTCGACCACAGTTTATGTATATAAAATGTATAATTTCAAGTTGAGAGGAATATTTAGAATTGATGCTGGTGAGAAATATTAGTGAAAAAGGACACGTTTGTGAAGTGGAAACACAGGATTTATAGTAAACTGGTAAAAATATCACACACCGGGGCTTTAAGAAGCTACGGGTAAACAAAGACATGCCTGCAGGTAAAAAAAAAAAAAAAAAAAAAAAAAAAAAAAAAACAACGCCAAACAAAACAAAAAAAAAACACAAGCTCCTTTCTATCATTTGAGTTTAGGGTTGATAATTTATATTTCAGATGATATAGTGGCATCAATATTGGTACCAGATAAGTAAAACTACGATCTATCGGCACACATTTTCTTACCGTGCATCTCTAAACAAAATCGTAAACATCTGTTCTGAAAATGATCAGGGAGCTGAACTAGCAACGCAACAAAGCAGCTTTAAATGTTTTGACGCCGAAGCTGAGACAGCCGGTGAATCTCACTTTCTACATAAAAACAAGGATTGCTTTAAACATTTTTCTAAATCTGTTTGGATGTGATTTATTTCCCTTCTTATCTTCATGAGACTCTGTGAACATTTGTGATGCAGAGCCTCTCGACTTTCGCTCAAACGCTTCGCAAGAAAAACACAGACACGTGCAGACGCCTTACAACAAACAAGGTTTCCTCTTCAGTGGAGCCGACGCAGAGATAATGGGCAGCTACACGAGAGCAAAGACTAACAAGGGTCAGCAAGGACACGGAGGGAAGCTAACAGGGTTACACATCTGCATAAACACAAGAATCTGTGTGCTAAATAAAGAAACACCCGAAATGCAGCATTAATGGCAAAACCCACTAAACATGCAATCTGTTGTCTTCAAACAATGACAAAGACTTGCATTTTTGCCCTGGGTCATGAATTAACACACTCCCACACATGCTGACAAGAAAGGTGCACAAAAACACGGAGCAGAGCGCATTCATGGATGGCCTTGATATGCATATGTGCAAATATCACAAGACAAAGAGGCAGCATTAAGCAGGAGAAGAGGGCTTGTAAATGAGAGCTTGGCTCATTGAGGCACTCTTAAGCCTCAGCGTTTTGTCATGTTTCTGAGAGGGTTTGTTTCCTCTCCTCCTTTATCTAACCCCCCGCCGCTCTGCCAGCATCCTCCCCTCGCAGCTCCCCACTTTCTGCCTCCTTCAGCTTCTATCTGTCTGTTCTCTTCATGGCGCTCGCAGGAGAAGAGCCTCTAACACCACGGAAACGGCGTCAGTCTGGTCTGCAGGAGCGGTGAGGCCACACTGAAACATATACAATTAATGCACATATCCAGACCCTGAAGTGTAATCTCAACACCTCAGCACAGCTCTTGATGGCCGTCTCTTCAAACAAGTGCTTTTTTTTTTGCAGAAACATTCATGAAAACAGCACTTTGCTTTAAAAATGAACCACAGGAAAGAAACGTTGCTTAACACAACAGGATGTATATCACTGAAAGCTGTGCAATGACAAAAGATAGCATTTATTGTCATCCAGATCATGCATTCAATTTAATCTTACATGTGCATGGCATAAAATAAATGAGGATTATAAAGGACAGTTCGTAGGTAGGTGACCTTTTTGGTGGAGTAATTAGCTGCTGCATGGGGAAAAAAGGTCTGGGTTATTTCATCATGGCTCTGCTTTATGAATGTTTTCAGCCTTGGTTCTGTATTTTCTTGTTTTGACACATAGATTCATGTTTTAAAAAGGGCGAGAAACAGTAACATGAACCGTGGGACAAATGAATGGATCTGCAACTGGCGAACAGAGAGTGACGTGTCCAATAACACGGCGTGAAAAATCTATGCGTCGAGGAAAAGAGCGTAGCTGCGGGAAGGAAATTAGTGGGTTAGAATGGCGACAGCTGCTCGAAGGAGACTGCAGTAATGATAGAGACGGCACTGAGTACAAAAATCTCTTTATGCATAAAGAAAATGAAAATGATAAATGCAAAACTGTAATTTTTACTTTGCTACTTTCATTTCATACTAGTCTGTTGTAGGTTTGCTTTTGAGACCACTGCTCTGGTGCGTGGCCCACGTTCGGTCCGAAGCTCAGCTGTCCTGACCTGGTAGTTGAAGCGGACGGAATGGTTGATACACTGGAACAGTTTTACTCTACACCGAGAGGGATGTGGGATATAGCCGTTTATGGCATGTTAGACCACGTTCGCTTACGTACCAGAGTGGACAGGCAGGGAGAAGAGAGACGTCCAACCCAAACAGGGACAGGGTGGAATGGAAGGACAACAGTACTAGGAATGCACCGATACCGATACTGGTATCGGTAAAAGTTAACCGATACCAGGAACCAATACCAGTGCAGTTGCTTGAAAATGGCTTTGCTGTAACTTGTCATTTCTGTTCACCTAATATTTTAGTTTTGTGATGATTTCTATTCATATATTTTACTTTTTACCCACCTCACAATCTTGTCCTGTTGAAAGCTGAGAAGAAAATAAAATCTGTATTCCAAATCATTGCATTTTTTGTGTGTGGTAGAAGCATCGGTATCGGTAACCGGTATCGGTGAATACTCAGATCCAAGTATCGGTATCGTATCGCTTTGGAAAAAAGTGTCATCGTTGCATCCCTAAACAGTACACAACAAATAGACAACAGACAACCAATACACAGAAAGTCCTGTAAGCCACTTGGGCCAGCTTCTGCGGGGAAATCCCAAGGCATTCCCTGGCCAGCCGGGAAACACAGTCCCTCCAGCGTGTTCTGGGTCTTCCCCTGGGTCTTCTCCTGGTTGGACGTGCCTGGAAAACCTCACCAGGGAGGCATCCAGGAGGCATCCGTACCAGATGCCCGAGCCACCTCATCTGACTCCTCTCGCATTTCTGCCAGACGACAAATTTCCTGGGAGGGGGAAAATACGCTGGCTATGTCCTCTCAGCCGACGCGTGTCGATGTAAAATCGGTCCTTACAGGACTTGCTAAGACGTCAGCATATCACGACCGTTTCAGCAGTGAGGGACATCACTGATCAGCACCAAGAAGCGACCCCAGCCACATTAAAACATTTAAAGATGTTTTATTCTTTCAAATCCCAGACAGGAGACGCAGGAAGAGAACAGCTGTGCAATGTAAAAAATGCCGTCCAATGACCAGAAGAAACTCTGTTTCTGTAGGAGACCACATAACAGTGTAAATGACAGCAATGTGCAGAGATTTCTGCCACATTTTTTGGCTTTGGGAGTTTACAAACGGCGATTTGAAGTGGCCTGGAAAGTGGTCCTGACCAGCTGGCCTGGTAAAACGGAGACACAGGCCTACAGTGAGGATCCTGTAAAACTACCCAGAAGCTCCAAAAGAGGAAACTGACCCATCGCTCAAGAGATTTTGTGGTTTGTTCAGATTTCTTTCTGAAAGAAGGGTCCCTTGCTTCTTTTCCAACTAAATCTCACTTCTTCAGCCTTTTATTCCCCTGATTTGACTTTCCTCGTCCTAGAATTTAGCAGTTATGCTCAGTATAAATTCAGATGCATAGATTTTTGTCTTTTATTGAGTAAAAATGCTGCAGAAAATGTAAATGTGGCGGTGTGAGCGTCCTGTCACAGTGTCCTGATTGATCATGCGCCCTGGCTACTTGGCCAAGGGGATGTCCCTTTGGCTGACTGGTTAGCGCGTATGACTCTCACCCGGGAGTCTGGGGAACGAATCCCGCCCGGGCCCTCGTTTCTCCACCCTTGCCACATAAAGTTTCTCCAAAACCTCAATAAATACTAACGACAATGCAGGAATTGTGAGCAATACAGGCAAAGAAGATGTGAAAGTGTGAGTTTGAAAATGGTAAGTATAACTAAAACAAGCAAAAGCAAGAGGATCTACAGAGCTACATGGAAGACAGAGAAATACACCATGTTCAGACAGGAAGATAAAATAGAGAGTGAAATAAAATGAGGTGGAGAAAGGGGAAGAACGAGTGGTGGTGGTGGTTGTGGCGGAGGCGGTCTCTTAACCTGGTGCGACGGGGCGTATGCTTGTAAATAAACATCAGCTCTAGATTATTCCGAGCACGAAAGCTCAGACCGTGAGGCCCCGAGGTCAGAGTGAGCCCATACCTGGCTCTCTCGGCCAAACACACAAACACATCCACTTCTACAAAGACCTTGTGTGGAGAGCAAAGCCAATTCAAATGCTGGTGCATGCATATAAACACGCGGAAGCAGGCGTGTCGGTTATTTGGAATAAAAATATGAAAAGGAAAAGCCTTCCTTCATGCATGCATGCATTCAAACAAATGCAGACACACTTGCATGAAAACTGACAAATGCACACAAGGACAGCAAAAATCAAGCATGAAAGATGTGCACACTGCACTGCTGCAGCACAAACACACTCTTATACTGAATATAACATTAGCTATTCCACACCAGCACACACAAACACACACAGAGTTAACACCCCAGATGTCTGCAGACATCCATGTTTCAGTTTGACACCAACGGCTGCAGCCGTGTGAGAAACTGGTTTTATTCAGATGTCGATGTGTCCGTTAATGTTTTTATCCGTTGATAAAACAGTAAAAACAGATTTCTGGTGCCCATCTCAGTTAGGATAGTCCATTTCTGTAGGAAACTGTATTAATCTGATACAACAGTTCTAAACTACGACGTCCACTAAGGAAGGCTTTCAGACTACACAACAAAGTAAACCGATACGTGGGATTAGAGAGACTGTACTTACTGCTCAATGCTGGGAGAGAGGTACAGCTTAGGAAACACCTGGGTAGCTTCAGCATCCTCAAAGCTCACAGAGAGAAGAGCTACATCTTCTCCTGGATCCAACGCCGTGTCCTTACACAGACAAAGACAGGTTGGTAAACACTTTTGTAAGCTTAAACCACAAATAAACACAACCCTGATTACAAACAAAAGTTGTCTTGGACATTTAGGGTTACTGATTATAAATGTTTCCAAACCATGAAATGAAGGGACAATGTGCTTTTAGGCAAATATTTGGGTGTTTAGCATCTCACTTGACTCATTTACTGCTAAAAGAAAGAAAGAGAAGAAACATTTTATGAACATTTTTCTGTCTTCAACAAATTTTTGTTTCTTTTTTTCATTCAACCGCTTCACGAGGTCAAATATCGTCATTTTCTGTGCAAAAATGCAGCTCGTTGGGAAGTCTTTTCCACCCGGGAAGCATTTCAATCTCTCAGCTGTCCATCCATCCTCCTAACATACCACCTCTAAAACTAATGCATGACAACTCAAGAGTCACACAGACGTGACCCAAATCATTGCTCATCTTTCAGGCAGGGATATGAAATCAATCTTACGGACCGTTGAGTTATTTAACCAGAAGATTGGAACTTTTTATTGCAGGGATTATGTAACGCTTTGTATTAACTGAGAGACAAGAGAAGAGAAAGACCTTTAAAATGTTTAAGATGATTTATTTCTAAACAGTTTTAAACAAGACTACCTCTACTCTAATGATGAATGGATCTGGTGTAATGAGGCGTGAGATGAATGGTGTGTGTGTGTGTGAGTGATGTTATTATCAGAACTCTCGTATCCGGAGAAGCAGGTCTGAATGATGTTGTGATGTTTTGCTTCTAGCTATGATCAGAGTTTGATCGGAGTGTCATAAACACATGAGACGCCATATTTGTCGCTCCACACATACCCTTGAAATGAGACCTCCTTACAGATCCAGATCGCCAGGTCCTCGGACCCCCCTTTCGGTACAGGAGCCGATGAAACAGCGTCAGCGGTACGACAAACTAGTCTTTGGATTGTCTCCAGGTAAAAAGCGACAGGTGGTTGACAGCGTCAGATGCACCCACTTGAGTCAGTGAGTTCAGCTTTTATTTTGAAAGGAACCGTTGCTTGGTTGGTAAAATGCAACAGATTTTATCCAGCTTGGTGGTTCTCAGCTTAAAAAGGAAGTCCAGATGGTCGGTCCGATACTTCGCTTAGCGTGCGGTGAACTCCAGTGAGATCTTGAGAACTGAACGAAGATGGCGTTGGAACTGGTTTTATTAATCTGGATGTTTTGATTTCTGGTCGAATCAAAGTTGGCAGATTTATAAACACCACAGAGACAATGCCACGCTTCAGAAAGGAAGGTTCTGATTGGATCAGTAACAGCAATGCGTCATGCGTTTGCATTATGTGTAGTCAGCATGTCTATGAAGCAGAAAAGGGCTATCAGATTAATGACAAATGCAGGATATCTGGATCACACAAATGAACTTTTTATTAAAACGCGGACAATGAAGTTCCAGGACTTGATTAAATACAAAACAGCACAAATAATGCATAAAGTAAGAAATAAATTAATGCCTGATAAAATACAGAAACTGTTCACAGAGAGAGAAGGAGGATAAAACCTGAGAGGGACACTAAACTTAAAGATCCATAAGTTTAGAACAACATTAAAACAGATGTGTATCGCAATGATAGGGGTTAAATTATGGAACAATTTAGAAGAAGAAATCAAAGTAAGTACAAATATAAATGTGTTTAAAATGAATTATAAAAACATATTCTGAACAAGTATATAGTGGAAAATCGATGATTTATGTGGGTGTCCTTTATTCTACGGAAAAGTAAGTTGTATCAATTGTAAAAAGATGTTTTTTTTGTATTTTTTGTTTTTTTTTCCATATGGTTTGGTGGTTTTTTTTTTGGTGACTTGTACCATTTTGTTTGTTTTAATGTAGGTTTTGTGTTAGATTTAGTAAACAAGTAAAACTTACTTGTATAAAGGGGTAGGGACATATAAGTTCCCACTTCAGCCTACTCCTTTTCAAACAGAGAAGAAGGGATGATGATATGTATTTTTTTCTGTTTGTGGTATTTTAAAAAAAAATGTATATTTTCTTTGTTTGAAATAAACTAAACTAAACTATATTAAAGTAATTTACTTATTAAAGCATATTAATCATAACATTGTTATTTCACAGATCGGTCAACATTAAATTATTGACTAACACTTTGGTTTGATTAGCTTTATTAAAAATAGAGTTCTTTGATTTATTAAAAGAGTCCTTTATCTTCATTCTTCTCTTGCTGGAAAGTAAACAGTTTAGAAGCGAATGCATGACCTTGAGGCTGTCTCATGCAGCCTAGTACTGTGTCAGAGGCATCTGTGGAGAGAGGTTAAATAACCTTGGAGGAATAGCTCCTTCATCACGTTACATACATTTCCTTCACCGTTTAAGGGCAAAACTACAGCAGTTGTGTCTTAATCTGATGTGAATTATTATTGTTCATCTGACCACATGGCATCCAGATGGAGGAGGATTTGATGCTGCTGCAGCTGACATCCACAAACTAAACCTTTACAGGTCTCTGCTTCAGAGACATTTAGGAGGTGTTCAATCCAAAGACAGTGAACGAGATCCAGAAATGAAAATGAGCAGAAAGGACACCAGAAAAAAACATCTGTTCTGTTTCATGCAACATTAGCTTCGACGGCTGCATGATGAGTCTGAGCCGATGACTGGGAGCACCAATCAAATCATGTGTGAGATGGATGCGGAGGCCACCCGGAGCTGCTTGCTGCAAAGCTCATCCGTCTCTCTGAGGTTCTAATTTCTCTTTCTGTGAAGTTTTTCCTGGAGCATGGCTACTTCCCATTAGTGCAATTCCACTGCGAACTCCCTCCGCCATCAGGGGCTCTGTGGCGTTAATCAAATGTCTTACAGATGGTTTGAACTCAGCCATTTGTTATAATCGCTGCCCTCTGCGGTGAGAGGAACTCGAACCACCACACATGATGGACAGAGGCAGACTGCAACCAGTTTGGTGCAAAGCATCCCTAATGTCATCACGCTATTAACTAAACACGCTTTGGTCTGCTGATTACGAATCTAAAGTAGCCACAGCTGAAGGAAAAATCAGCCGTAGCAAGAGAAAAATTAGTTTATTGAGAGAACATTTCCTCCTAAGTAGAGTGGAAGTAATCCTTCAGCGGCTCATTTGATGATTTTTTAAATTAATGAATTAATCAGACAGAAAATAATCAGTACAATTGTTCCATCTATCAGGGAAAAAGTGAGAACAAAAACATGATTTTTTTAAATTAGTGGAGTATTTTTATTGTAATCCACCCAGAGATGAGAAGCTCTGCAGTCTGCCCTGTCACAGCAGATGCATTAGCAGCTAAAGACAGAAGAAAAAAAGGCAGAGGAAGATGGCCTTCAAAAGTGTTGCCTGATAAAATCAGCCCACATCAGCGTAGCGTGCATCAGTAAACAAGAACTGCTCTCTGCCTCCGAGCAGCGCTGGCGGCTTCTCCCGCTGACGACACGGGACAGATTGGAACAGGCGTGGAAACGCGGGGCCGGGGTGGGCAGTGGGCTTTGGGAGAAGATTGTTTTGCTCCAGTTTGTAGCTGTCATGTCCCGTTCCCCTCTTCAGTAGTGATTTAATTGATGCTTTCTCTGGACTGGGAGAGAGTAAACAGATGGATGAGAACCAACAGGAAGGTGAGCGGGCCAGAAGAACGTGGCTCGTCTGTGTGCAGGCTGCAGCAGACCATCCCTCGATTCGGTCAGACCAAGGGCTTCGTTGAAGGGAAAGGCCTCTGTGGAATGATTCAGACTTGTCTTGTTCCAGAAGACAGCGAAAAGCTGTCACAAGTCAGACCGAATCAGCCAAACACGACAACTAAAACTAAAGGCAGACCCTTTAACTTTCATCTCGTGCCGTTTCAAATTAACGTGCTGCACAGAAAGTTGAATTATACAAATAAAAATAGTTGTGGAGTCTAAATATATAACAGACTGCTGTTTAACATCTTCTTTATGAAACAGAAAGCAACAATCATGCCTCACAGACAACTTGTTTAAACAAGACTAGCGTTTGCGGCATGAACGGCTGTTTGGTTTTCTTTGTGGTACTTCCATACAAATGCTCATCAGAATAACTAAACAATGCACCGATCACTCACTTTGACACCAAATCTCAACTGAGTGACAGTTAAAGTCCCTCAGCTTTTATTAGGCATCATTTCAACCTTACCTGCTAAAACATCTTGAACAGAAGCAGCTGTTGCTTCCTCGAAGAAACAGCGTATGTTCAAGGACTTAATGTCAGATGAAACAGTGGTTTTTAAAAATATTTCTCTAAAACCTTAATGAATCCCACTCAAACTATGCCTTCTCCCCTCCAGAGTGAATACTACTAAAGCTAAAGGTGATGCTAAACAGCCAGCTGAACTTTGAATCTTTTACAACAGAATAAAAAACACTAAATATTGATCAATTTTGCATATTGATCTCCGATCATCACAGGGAAAGTCCCATGTACTGAAAGGTGTATGCAATGTTTCAGAATACAATGAAGACTCATTCCTTTCATACAGACAAAAGGATGAAAGTTACCACAAGTGCACCATCAGTTGTTCACACGTTACAACAACTGAACCGATCTACCACCCAAAGTTTCTTTCCAATGCAAAAGTGTTGAAAATGTAGAACAGTTGGTATGGTGGCTAACCTTGGCTCAGCTCAACATAACCATGTTAAAAATGGCCTGCATTTGTTGGGCAATTTTCTAAGTCAGAGGACTCCAAAGCACTTTACATTACAGTCATACAAAAACCAGTGGTGATGAGCTGTAGTGTAGCCCCAGCTGACAGAAGGAACGCTGCCACCGGTCCCTCCGACCACCACTAGCAAGCAGAGGGAGAAGAGTCTTGCCCAAGCACACAACGACTGACATGGAAGAAGTTGGGATTTTATTTGGCAACCCACAGATTACAGGGTGATCTCCAAACTCCCGAGCCGCCGTTACTTTAGACTGTTTTAAAGTTGATTTATTGTAAAAGTCCATAAAGC